AAGCGATCCTCCTGCCTCAGCCTCCCGAGTAGCTGGGACTACAGGCGCATACTACAATGCCCGGCTAATTTTTTTATTTTTAGTAGAGATGGGGTCTCACTCTTGCTCAAGCTGGTCTCGAACTCCTGACCTCAAGGGAGCCTCCTGCCTCAGCCTTCCAGAGTGCTAGGATTATAGGACTGAGCCACCATGCCTGACCATAATTCCAAAAATTAATGTGCAAGGATTTTGCTTTGAAGGAGCAATGTAGGCTCACTCTTTTTTTAACCTTAATTGATAGAAAATTCCTCTAAGGTCTCATTAAAGCTCTCATGCTTCAGTTACATAATAATACTGGTTAATGATTATATTGCTACCAAATTTACCTTGTCTGCAATTTTACAGCAACAGTCCATCCACAAGAAATCTTGAATTAAATCATCATCTACAACAAAAGATAGCTATAATTTGTCTTTTAAAAATAGAATGTTTCCTTTTAAAGAATTAATTTCTATATCAAGAGATTATAAATGATGCTTAGAAATAAAACAAAAATGACTGAACCAGTGTTGTCTAAGGTATAGTTTTCAGTTCTTTGGTGTATTTATCATTGTAAAGACTTTACAAAAAGCTACTGCCTTATCCTTCATCTTCCCATCTGATTTGTCTTAATATATAGCTCAGGTTGGAGGGGGAATGGTAGAAGTGTTGGTTTACTGACTATCCAACAGCACTCTGAGAAATGTGTCTTGGGTAATGCTATACTAGCTCTTCATTCCTTTCCAAAATCAATCTTATTGTAGAAATGGGATCTGCTAAAAGATAACTTAGTCTTTAAAAAAATAAGGACTTAATACTCTATTTTCCAAATATGTTTTACTTTTTCTACTACTTTCTCCTTTTAGATTCCAGGATATTTTTAGTTTTGGATTCTTCTTCTCTGCTCCTACTTATCTCTATTCCACTTTCTATTATTCAAATACATATGAAAATGTCTATATAAACATGGTTCATAATTAGTTATTTATGAATAACATTTTTGAAAAAATGAGTATTAGGATAAAAAGGTTAACAAAAATATTGTTAAAAAATAACATCCAGAAAGTAGGTCAAACATTTATTTCAAATTTATTTATTTTTATTTTTTTTTTTAGAGACAGAGTCTCATTCTGTCACCCAGGTTGGGTGCAATCACAGCTTACTGTAAGTTCAAACTCCTTAGCTCACTCAAGCAATTCTCCCACCTTAGCCTCCTTAATAGCTAGGACTATAGGCATGCACAACCATGCCTGGCTAATTTTTGTATTTTTATTTTTTGTAGAGACAGGGTCTCACTATGTTGCTCAGGCTGGTCTTGAACTCCTGACCTCAAGTGATCCTGCCCCCTCAACCTCCCACAGTGCTGGCATTACAGGTGTGAGCCACTGCACTTGGCCTATTTCAATTTTAAAGGGCTAAAATATATAATCTCAAAATACGTTAGTAGTTGTCAGAATATAGTCTGAAAAAATATGTTTTTTATCATTCCCTCCTTTATTTTTTCTTTCTTTTAGTTTTTTTTTAGAGACACAGTCTCACTATGTTGCCCAGGCTAGCCTCAAACTCCTGGGCTCCAGGAATCCTCCTGCCTCAGCCTCCTGAGTAGCTGGGACTATAAACACCCATCACCATGCCAGCTCCTCCCCTGCATTTTAAGTAACAAAGCATAACTTCTTTATATTCATTTTTACACCCTAAAATATCATCATTGTAGTCAAATATATGGAACGTCCCAAGAATAACTATGAATAATAATTTCTATGAATAATTTCTGCCTTGTTAATTCCATTTCTATTTCTTAAATTACCTAAAATGGTAGAGCCAAGTATTTTCTCTTATTTCTTATGACCAGTTATGGGTACTAAAAAAGTTTGTAGGTAATAATTCTGTTCTACTGTTAATAAAGAGAAACTCGTATTAACATTCTAGATGTTCTAGGAGAACATATGTATTCTTTTCTACTTATATTCTTTACATTTTTCCTCTTTTTTTCCTGATCTCATCTTTTCATTTTGCTTTGCTTTTCTTAACCAGCTTGCTTTAATGCACCTGGCCTTCCTCTATAAACAAGGAAGCCTATTACCTAAATCTATGAGACTGTGGCATTTACTTGACTTAATTCATTCCCACAGATATTTACCAGAACCCATCTATACTATCCCTTATTCTAATCTGTCCACTTTATAACTTTCCTTCAAAAAAATATCCCCAAAAACAAAACCAAAAAATAAATCCTTCTTCTTGGTTAGAAGTATAGTACTATAAAGTTTCTTTTTGCCAATTTGTTAAGAAATTTATCAACAAAGTAGCACTGTTTAATAATCTAAACAAATTCAAACTCAATTTCATTATACGAACGTGATGATAAAGCAGAGTTAATTTTCAACAATGTTCCCAAAATGTAATTCTGAATCATCTCTAGGTTGACCAAGCTTCCTGGTTTGCTTGGTTTTAGAAGTGAAAGTCCTGGGAAACTCCTGAGGCATAGTTAAACAGGGTCAGTTAACCTAAGTCTTTTTTGTTTGTTTTTTAAACAAAAGCCTTCCTTTTGTTCTAGCACCTGAGTCTTTATGTATTTTACTTTAGGTCAAACAAAATTCATGCTCTGAACCTGAATTGCCCAGAATTTACATTTGACACTTGGATTTAAGTAGTCTAGAAGCTAGATGAGTCTGAATTTTTAACCCATAAGCTAGCAAAACAAAAATCCAACATTAAAAAAAAGATTAAAACAAAACACATTTGGTTAGAGATGGGAAATTTGACACAATAGCATCCTCTTTGATCACTATGAAAATAATAAAATAGGTGTTTACATTCTAATTTTTGAGTACTTTATAATTACCACTATTACAATATTTTAAACTTACCAAATAATTTAAAGAAAGCGGTCATTTCTTGACGCTGTATTACCAGACAAGGTCCTTTGGGGCGTTTAGATTTGTTGTTATTATGTGCATTTATTTCAGATGCTTGCCAACTATCTTTAAAAAGAGGACGCTTCAGATTAATGGGTTTTTTAGGCTGATATGATCTATTTGACCCTGATTTTACATGAACAGTGACAGTAGGTGGTGTCTCACAACACATCTGATTGTGCCTCATTTTGGTTTCCCAAGATTCCTGTAAAAATAAAACATACAATTATTTATCATGTTCATTCATTTCTCTATAAAACAACTAACTGGATAATACTACCAGATACAGTCATATGAAATGTTACTGAACTTGCTATTAAAATGTTATTCGTGACAGTGACTCATATTAAAAATTTGCTTAGGTGTTAGGAAAAGCTATGCCTCCTTTGGGTAACTGCTATACTTCCTCTACCCAAATAAGATATTGTATACCATTTTGCTTTGGCTACAGAACTTAAAACCAAATCTGAAAGTTAATTATAGAAACTATGTTGAGTTTATAATGTATTTGTAGTGTTCTTTCTTCTTATTAATTTTTTATTCTGCTTGAATTGACATAATTTTATTGTATGGTTATTATATGCCACCCCAAATTCTTTATAAACAAGGCAAACTATTTCTATAACTTATTGTCAATATTAATCACCCCCTCCCCAAAAAACATATATTCTTATTGGTAAATTCCAGATATATCACAAAATTCACTTATTCAATAAGCATTTATTGGTATTTATTGAAAAGTTAAAAACAATTCTAGCAAAAAACGTATAGGTACTTTGAAGGATTTTCATAAATTGGTCTAATTTTTAAAGTTGTGAGTGTATGACCATGCTATTTGAGTGGCTGGTTATAAGTGTATATGAATGTACAACATTATAATCTAATACAATCTGAGACAAAGTTAATCCATCAATATTTAACAATATGCATAATCATCTTATTTGGTGGTGATCACATAATTACTAGAATTAGCATTTTCTGGTCAAATATTTCTAGGGTAATGGGAAATGAAGGTGTGAATATGCAAAGCAGGAAACTATTCTAGGACCCTAATGAGACCTCTGAATCCGTAACTCACAGTGACCCAGGCAGCCATGCCTCCCTTGGTGTTCAAGGAGTTAGGTACAGATTCTCCTTCCTGACCCTCAGAAACTTCCCTGCTGAAGGAAGGAATGGAAAACAAGATAGGATATAGTGAGGCTAGAGCAGCACTGTCAGAAATAATGCAAGCCACAGATGTAATTTTATATTTTTAGAGCCACATTTTAAAAAAAGGTAAATTTTAATAATATAGTTTCTATAACACAATATATCCAAAATGTCATTTTAACATGTAATCAGTCAAATTTAAAAATTAATGAGATATTTTACATTCTAAGTCTTTGAAATCTGCTGTGTATTTTCCATTTATAGCATATCTCAATTCTGATGCTAATTTTTCAACAGTAAAAGTGAAATGTAGTCCTATCAAAAAATGAATTAGTGTGCAACAGAAAACTACTTTACATTCCTTCAGTTTTTAGATTTAAGTTAAAATTAAATTCTTCAGTTTCAGTATTTAATAGTCACAAGTGGTTAGTGTCTACTATATTAGACAGTATAAGGCTAGATTATGAAGAACTAGGTAGAGGAAATTATACTTACTTGATTATATAATTTCC